GCACCAGACATTTTGGGGCGATTGTCCTGTTTCATCACAAGGAAAAATATACTAGACTGAAATCCAAAACTCATACAAAATATACAGGTATATATACTCGATGATTACACAGACGGAACATTTATCAAGGAAATGAATTGGAGCTCCTCAGGACGTGTCTCGATATGCTTGATTGCTAGCCGTGCATGTATCTCCACTTCCTACATACGCAGGTATAACAAGTTCGAAAAGTCAGCTAGTGTCAGCGCAAAGACGAGACTGAGTGGTGAGTGGACGCAATTTCTACAATTTTTTGGCAAACATAGAAGTAATTGTAAGAACAAATGTGAACTCGAAATCAGGGTCGGGAAGGAACGATCGCGTGAATAACCAAGAACATCTCAAGGCTATCAGAGAAGAAAAACGGACGCTACTGACAACAACGAACCGCGAGTTTAGCCACAAACAGACGAGATCTCGTAAGCTCCATAGTTGAATAGCAAGTTTACGACACGATGAACTCGAAATAATTGTAACCAGGTTGAAATGTGCAGTCGATTACGTTAACAACTGTTTTTTTAGGCTATCGTTGAACTGCATCGCAAAGTAGATGCAAGCACCAATAGAATACGCAATGTGGATTCATAAACTGCAAAAAACTATACCATCGTATGTGTTTGTGGGCGCTGTGCCACACGAAACACACAATGAATAAAACTATTTCCAAAAAGTTAGGTATCAACTCATTTTAGTCGTATATCCAAGCAACCACAGATAACTGCGCCGATTAACGAGAAGTGGGTCACTTCACTTCATCGTACGACTTGACACATTTGAATGCAGTGCACACATTGAAGAAACCACAACTTTCCGGGTTAAATTACTGAGAATATCTACCATAATGACAGGACTGCACAAGTCTAATATCGTGTCTTTTAAAAACGAATTTCTCGAATGTAAGCATGGGTCGGTATTTTTTAATTACACACCAGTGTGTGATGAACAGCAGACGGGGCGGACCCCATAGTCACGAGGAACTGCTGTTCAGTGACTTAAATCGGCAATCTAAGCCCCGGGACTTGGAGTGATGAACCACATAAGGCCCTCGATAGGTTAGGTGTGGTATTGAACCGGACGACAGCAGAGCTGCCTACCGCCAAAGTCGGGTGACGGGGCTCGAACCTCGGACCAAAGGGTCCAAAGCACGCCGGTGACAGCAACTAAACCACTGCGCCACAACCACATAGTGTACAGCAGAATCAATAGGGTTTTTTCGGCTTGACTGCACCTTACTTGGGCTTGAAGAATATTAAATATTCTAGGTGTGAGAGTGAAGAACAGATTGAGCTTTAAAACGACCACTTTGAAAAGCACTTCAAAGCGTTCAGCATGCAGTAATCGACGTATCGTAATAAGGCATAGAACGAAACTAAATCTCTCTACAGAAAAGATGCTAAAAAACAAAGGTAGCAAAACTCGTATCACGGCGACAAATTTTTTCTTGAGTAATGTACAGTAGATGCGGTAATCCCCACAGTCACAAAGACCTGTTGTTCTCGTATGGAAACCATTAACCCAATCCCCAGGACTTGGAGTGACCCCACTGGGTTAGGCAAGATGCTGAGCTGAACGACAGTGAAGCTACCTATCACCAAATTTAGGTGGCGAAGTTCGGACCCTATCGGCAAAAGCACTTCGATGACCGTGACCTAGACTGCTTGATCACAACTACAAAACAGGAAAAGACAAAAATGCTCTGGTCAAGGTGAAGAAAATGAAGCAGTTCGTGGAAATAATTAATACGCGTAGGCAACCGCCAATGCGAATGGAGTAGCAAGCGAAACAGAACATAGTAATCGTTGGAACTGACCTTGCACTGGTCATACGTGCACAACAGGATGGGCGAGAACATCAGCTGAATTTTAGTCTCGTGCCACCGTTTGTCCATCTCGAAACCGATACAGTCCAAGAAAGCAGTCGGACAAGGTGTAGTGGGAGAACAGCCATGCTGTGAAACAGAAATATCATTGACAATACGTAGTGAATTCTCCACATATAAAAGTCTATTCAATTGAAAATCAATAGTTAATAAACAGATTATGTGTGATGTTTTAATGTCGCACTCTTTACCACAGTATGAAGCTAAGAGGGAAAAACGAGAAATAGATAGATATACGAGGCTACTTCGAAATAGAAAAATGTATCGACAAAGTGATCCCACTAAATAATATATTCGAATTTTTCTTATGGGTATACCACAAAACTGTATCTGATAGAAAACGAAAAGATCGTTGCACAGTGGGTTTGGATGGCAGTACAAATAAAATAAGCAACATTTACGTTCTATCATGGGTGTTTGATAGTTAAAAATTTCAATGCTTGGGTTCAGTTCAGCTTAATCGACCATGAGGCATGCATTTCCGTGAGTCGCTATTGATTCCAGTCTTTTGGCTGCCCACTTAGGTGAACAATAGGAGGAAAACAAATGGTTGTAAGTAGCATTCATGAAAAACTTGGAGAATACAGCGGAAAAATGAAGCACAGATAGGAGCCCAGGCCACATCGATCCAGTGACGCTGAATTCTGAAATATTCAAATAAAAGAACGTCATTCAAAAAAGAGGACATTGTGAGCTCAAAAGAACAACACAAGGAAACCATACAATTGTCATGCTACGCAGCAAAATATGATACGCAATGAAAAGATAAATTCCAAAGCCATGAAAATCTGGGATGATATGAGAATAGCTCGTGACACAAGCAGTGGAATAAGGATAGGGAACCTACATCAGATAATCGTGGGCTACTACATCGAGGTGAATCTGCACCACGAAACGATCACAGTTCAGTTCAGTTTGTACAACCATTAACCATGCACTATCGTGCGCCGGTTTTGGTTGCTACCTTTCGGCCGCCCATTTAGATGAACATTAGGAGAAAGACAGGA